ATAGTAGTAGTGTGTCTCGTCTCTTCGTCGTACGTACGTAGTACGTAGTACGTACGTACGTACTACGTACTACTACTACTAACTTAACGTTAACGTTTAGTTTAGTTTAGTTAGTTAGTAGTAGAGAGAGAGAGAGAGAGAGAGAGAGAGAGGAAGGGACGGGAGGGGGTGGCGAAGCCCCACAGATCTCCCGACCAGCAATGGGAGCCGAGGGGAGTGTGCTTTAAAGTGTCTATATGACTATTATACCCTTAGGCCTTTATTGATATATCATTCTTAGGTCTTCAATGATACTAAAGATTTTGCGACGTCTCTCCGGGGACTGTCATTCCCTTTCCCGCCCCGAACCTCTCTCTTGCTCTCGCTCTCCTTATCGATCTATGCTCCTGCGGAGTATACTGTGCATTTATATTTTCATAAAAAAATCTCTGCTAAATGTAAATTGAAATCAAAAGGATGATTTTTTTTGGAGTTAAACGAAATCGATTTGTGTGTAAATCGATCTGAATGAGAGTTAAATTTGAAGTATTGGTTGAAAAACCCAAAAAAAAAGCAAGCTTTTTTACTTTTTTTTGTATCTAAAATGTGGATACGGGGGCAACTTGTTCGAATCCAAACAAGAATCGGCCCAATACCAAATATATATATGTATAAAATAGATTCATATTTTTAAAATTAATTTTTTTTTTTTTTTTAAATTTCATGATCATGACATGTTGAATTTTAGATCAAAATCTTCTACGTATATTGGAGAGTGCACATTTAGATCAAAATCTTCTATGTAGATTGGAGAGTGCACTTAAACAAAGTGAATCTGCGGACACACAAAAATCAGAAAAAAGGGCAGGTAGCTTGATGATGCCTCTTGGAAATGGCAAGATAACTATCCCCAATGACTTCTATTTTCTACTACAAATAAGGAAACAATATGTTTTAGTAAAAGGAAAATGATGGACCTTATAATAACTCAAAAGTCCTTCTTCTTTTTTTCTCCTTTTTTATCATTACCATGCTATAATATTATATTACAGGAGCATTTATCTTTGATAAAAGAACGTCACAATTGCTAATAGACATTAGATGTTAAATTGGATAGTATGAGATGTACTACAAAATTCGAAAAATATTTTTTTGAAGTTAGAGCTTAGTCAATGACACACTCACAATCATCCTATTTGAAATCTGACAGACAAAAGTGAGTATGACCTCCTTGTATTAAAAGTAAATGGTCTCTTTATATATTTTTTCTATTCTTTTGGTGGGATCATCAATAACAAAGATAACCGCCATGAGTCTTTATAGGACACGGGAAATAACAAGGACGGCAATTTCAACCCTCCCTTATTGTAAAAGAGAAAAGTTTAGATGGGCTTTTATTTAATGAAGCTCATTTTAAAAGTCCATCTTAGATTTAGGATACAAAACATATCTTAAGTGTGTTTAGATGCATTTATGTTTTAGATCCATAATTTATGTGGCACTTTAAAAAGAGTAATGATCCTATGAGACCCTCTCACATCCATGTGTGTAGGACTCCAAAGGATTACTATTAAATTTGGTATAGATCTCTAGAAAAGTCAAATCTCACACCCATGTGATAGCTTTTTTAGATATTTGTGCCAAATTTAATGGTAATCCTTTGGGGTCCTACACACATGGTTCTGGGAGGGTCTCATAAGATCATTACTCTTTTAAAAAATAAGATTATGATGTTCTATACTGTCTATTTTATTATATGTAGATTTGACATGCTTTTTAAGACAATGTCAAAAAGTTTAATATCTTTTAATATAGTGTGCAATCTGCATCAACCAAATAAAATGAATGATATTGATTGCTACAACTTCAATAAATAAGATTGTAACTTGATTTAATCTTTTTTCAAATTAAAATGAACAATCCAAAAACCTTGTTTGAAACAATTTGACTACTGCCCTTTATTCGCCCAAAAAGTAAACAGTCGAAAATCATTGTTTAAAACAGTACGCTTTTAAATTTTAAAATTATATTTATCCTATAGTCACAATTTTGATGATCAAAAGTTTTAAGTACATATTAATATGTATGCTCTTGGAAAAATCCAAATTAAAATAGGATTTTACATTAAAGTTTTTTAATTAGAGTAATTTTGACCACGATGATCATGAATTTTAAAATAAAAAATTAGAATAAGCGATCCAAAAATAGTTGAAAAGTAAACTTTAATAAATCATCTATTATAAGGTTTTCTTTTTCATATTTATAATATTTTTTAACAAAAGATAATGACATAAAATCCAAATTATAGAGATGGCCCAAAAAATACATATTTATAATCATGATGGTCCAAATTATAGAGATGAAATTTTGTATCCAAAATCAACATTGAGATCCAAAACCCATCTCTAGGATGAATAAGAAATGACTGTTAAAAAGAGGTTGCACTTGAATAGGATACATCTGCTGACGCACCAGACCCCCATCTAAGTAAAAATCTACTCTCCTTTCCTAAAAATTTCAAAACTCCGATCATTTTTGTATCATATTTAGGGGTGGCAATAGACCCGACCAAACTCGGAACACAACGGGTAGACCCGACCTCGGGTTCGAGTATGGGTCTAAATTTTGAACTAGAAATGTCAGGTCTGAGTACACAACCTGTATTCAGGTCCAGGTTTAGCCAGATCCTACCTGAATAAAATGGGTATATGTGGGTATCCATAATGTTGCCAATACGTTTGTTTCTTAAGAATTCCCAATTATTACGTAAAACAGTAAAAATTGTGAGATGTTTGTAAATGTAACCAATAATATAGGTATATGATGGTAAAAAACTGAAAAAAAAAAAAAAAAAATAACTCATAGTCATAGAGTGCCAATGGACTCGACCAGAGCCAAAACCCGATGGATAGACCCCACCTCAAGTTTGGGTATAGGTCCAAATTTTGGACCCGAGAGATTTGGGCCGAATTCAAAACTGGACCCGAATGCCATTTGTGCTTGGGCCCGGTCAAGCGGGAGTGACCCGTTGCCACTCCTAACCATTTCTTCCATATAATTATGAATGAATATTCCAAAAAGCATTCCTCTCGGCCCACCACCATTATCATATGAAACGGCACCGTATCTGTCATTTGAATGTATATGTACGGCGCATAATTCACAATCATATAGGGGTATTGATGAAATAAACAAAACTTTCCTGGGTCCTTTCATATTCTCACTCATCGTTCGTTTTTAAGGCTTTGAGCAGAGGGTGTGAAACTAGTGAGATATTTTTGGGGATACGGCCCCAAGTCATCGTCAGGAAATAGCATAGATTAGTGCAGCCTTAATCAGAGATCTGAACCGTCAGAATCTGATCCACAAATCATGACCGTTGGATTGGGTTTAGACTTTACGGAGCTAAGAATACGGACGAGTGAAGTAAGAGGCAGATGCTATTGGTCTGCCGACGAGGGGTGGCCTACGTGGCAGGTGGGCCCCTGACGGCTTAGATCGAGGGACGAAAGTTTACTGAGATTTCGTTCAATGTTTCGGCTGCCGAAATAGTGAACTGTCCGGCATCAATGTTAGGGAATTACGTGGTTCGAGGCCATTGGGTTTTGAGAATTTTGGTGGTTGATTGTCACGAATTTTGATTGGTTACTTATAATATTAGGAAACGATGACTCTTTCATTGGAAAAATAAATATAAGAAAAAAAATAGAATGATAATCATAATAATGTAAGATGTTTATGTGAGACCAAAGTTATCAAATAATAAAAAAAAATTTAGGAAAAAATATACAATGGGACCATTTACATTTGATAAAGGTAATCACAATTAATTTTGACCGTTGGATGTAAAATTAGGTGACTGTATTTGTTTCGTTGATCAAGCTTAAAATTCAAAAGAAATTTTTTCGAATTTTGTGATACTCCCAAGCTATCAGATTTCATATCGGATGGTTATAAGTACTTGAGTCATCTATTTTTGTGAGTTCTCTCTCTGTATTCGATTTTAGATAATGGGTGTGGTTTGTATAGAGCCTAGGCTCTAAACAATCAAATTAGAGCCTACCTTCAAATAGTATCGAGAAATGTGGTTTTAATACTGTAAATCTTTATAATAGCCTTAAAATATATTTTCATCTTTATTTATAAAGTTTAAAGACTAAAAAACAGTGTAGATCGACAGATCTATGAAAACTTGAAAATCTTTAAAATTGACGGTCTAAAAATGTATTACAAAATATACTATTTTTAAAAGTTAAATTTTTTTTTTTTCTCATGTCCATGCATCTTGATGTTGAGATGATCAATTTGAGGACATTTGGGTATCAAAATACCTCTACTAGTGAAATTTTTGAGGTAGGATACAACTTGATTGTTTAGAGCGTCGGCTTTTCCCCTCAGATAATGGGTGCTTAAGGGTCTGCAATCTATAGGAATATGAAATCTACACATGATAAGTTTTTAAATTATCTTAACACCATTTATTTGAAGTTTTAGGTGGAATCCCCCCATTTTATTATCCATTCTCAAAGATGAAGATTTGATGCGTGGGGGGAAGCAAGAAACACTTTCTCATCCTAGGATCGAGGAGCCTGCCCATTAGAAATATATTTTCACTATTCCATCCATTTAAAACTTCATAAATAGTGTAGATCTGATCATCAATGAAGAAGTAAAAATGAATAGTGAAAAACAAGTTCAAAACGGACTACCTTTGATGTTCATTTTTTTTTTTTTTTTTTTTTGGTGTTAAAGTTTTATTTATCATTTTATGGTGGTAGCCGAAATTATAGGCCCGCAAAATTTTTGGATTTTGAATCCATCTTATAATGTAGATGCTTAGGGGTAAAAAA